GAAAGGGGGGGGGGGGGAGGGTCTGGTCAGCTGTTTCCTCAGTGTGTGTGAGTGTGTGTGGACAGTGTGGGAATGTGTGTGAGAAAAAGTTGCAGACAAAGCTGAGAGCAGGCTCAGAGTGTGTGTGTCGGCCGGAGAGGACACACACACGGTGAGGAGCATCAGGGCGTCAGGACATGTAGTCTGGATCCAGAGTCTGAGTCTGAGTCTGAGTCTGAGTCTGAGTCTGAGTCTGGATTTTACTTTTAGTTCCTTTTTGTTTTGTTATTTTAGTTTGAAACTTCTTCATGTTTTAACCACTGGAGTAAAAACAGAGACGACGTCATGCAGCCGCACATCCATGACAACTGTGTCCAGACACAACTGTGTGGTGAGTTCCTCTCTGATCACTGATCAATGATCTCTGATCGCTGATCGCTCATCAATCTTCAGGTTACTGTAGTTTTTTTTTATTGGATGTTTTCTGAGCTCAGTGAATTTGTCTGAAACTATTAGTTCATTCATTTGATGACGAGCTGTGAACGAACATCAACGATGAGCTGGATTCAGCTGCTCAGACGTGAAGAAAACACAAGAAAAGAAAAGAAAATATAAAGGAAAGATAAAAGAAAAGACAAGATGGTCCTTCATCAGTCTCACATGGAGGATATTTTCAGTGTTATAGCAGCAAAGTGACAAAGAAAGAAAAACTGCAACTTGACAAAATCAGATACTAAAAAAAGATAAATGATATAATAATGTGAAATTAATTTAATTAGATATTTAAATAAAAGAAAAACAGTAGCAGCAGATCAGTCATTGATTTGAGTGAAAATGTCTTTGACTAACGAGTTCATCAGTTTTATTTATGTTGTTAATTAGTTAATAAAGCTCGCTGGTTTCTACAGGAAATATAATATAAGTTTATTTGTCAGTTATTAACATCAGGTTTTTATCTTCAGGTCTGTTGATGTCAATGTTTAAAAGCTGTGAGATGTTGGATCAGACTCGTCAGAGGATCTTCTTGTCTTGTTTCCTCCTGAGAATAAACAGACAAAGTGATGGCTGTATCGATAGTTATAAGGATTATTGATCAGTTATCAGACATTGTTTGTGACTGAAACATTATTTAAAATGTAAATGTCTTGAATAGAAAGGTGGAGACTCAGTGTTGTGACAAAAGAATGAAGACTGAGGATTTGATCAGGTCGCAGTCGGTCCAGATGTTTGGAGTCGAGCTGGACTTTTATTGTGAAAGTTTATCAGTGACGTGGACTCAGACCTGATCCAGGTGTTCAGCTCTGAGGGTCACTCACAGGTCTGTGGTGTTGGCACTGTAAGAACCTTAGAAAGGTCACGGTGGTGACTGGTTCAACTGGTTCAACTGGTTCCTCATAAACCCAGGAAATGGACTGGTGTTAACCCGGTCTAACCCAGTCTAACAGTGTGGAGCAGTGTGTTGTATATGGTGTGTTCCTGTGTTGTTGTGAGGTCAGGTGTCAGGTGAACTACAGGTGAAACAGGTGTGTCATGAGGAACTTACCTGTTCATTAAAGGTCATTAAAGGTCACGATGAGTGACTGTCTCTGTGTCACTTCCTGTTGTGTAATAACTGGTCAGAGGAACCTCAGACGACTGGGAGAACTGGTGTGAGCTCTGTGTGTGTGTGTGTGTGTGTGTGTGTGTGTGTGTGTGTGTGTGTGTGTGTGTGTGTGTGTGTGTGTGTGTTCCTCTCTCTGACTTGGCCCTGACCTCTGTCTGCTCCCTGTGAGAAAAAGTGTGTGTGTGTGAAGGGGGGTTCAAGCAGACTGTCTCTAAACAAAGCTTCCCCTGTCTGTGTGTGTGTGTGTGTGTCTGTGTGTGTGTGTGTGTGTGTGTGTGTGTGTGTGTGTGTGTGTGTGTGTGTGTGTGTGTGTGTGTGTGTGTGTCTGAAACTCTGTCACCTGCTGTTTGTTGTTTATTTTCTATCAAATACTGAGTCAATAAGTCAGTGAATCAATAGATCAATAGATGTATTATTGATTTCTTCTTATTTGCTGCTTCTCTTGGTTTCACTTTAAGTTTTTTTGTGTTTTGGACAAAACAAGCAGCTGTTTCCCGTCCCACCTGAAGTCAGGCCTGTGACATATGGAGGCCAAACAGTGTCTTTTAATTACAACAGGGGAAACTGTTCTGTCTGGTAGAGATCACTTGTTCTGTTGTGATTGATTGATTACCAGTATCAGCTGACAGCCACAGCCAGTACACTGTGTCCTGAGTCTGTGTTGGAGGATCTGAACTGATTCAATCTGTTCTGTAACTGAAGCTTCAGGGAAATAAAAACCACATTAGAACAGCTGCCGCCGCCGCGACATGTTTAAATTCAGCTTCATAGAAACAGTGTGATGCGTGTTCATCTGCTCACACACAGCTGTGCTAACTGCCACTTTATGAAAGCTACGAGCTAGCTGTTGAATAAAGTCTCTGATTGTAACTGTCTTATAACTTAAAAAAAAACATGATAACATCACTGTGACATCATCAGGGGAGATGAAGCCTCTGATGTCACAGGCTGACTTGTGGTAACCATGACGACCTCCATCTCTGTGTCTGTGCAGCCCAACTGGAGTTCGTCCAGATCCTGGTGATCGTGGTGGTGATGATGGTGATGGTGGTGGTCATCACCTGTCTGCTCAACCACTACCGCCTATCAGCACGCTCGCTCCTCTCCAGACACGCCCCCACACGCAGGAGACACCTGCCACTGGCCAACGTGAGTCACACACACCTGTACACCTGGCCTGTTTCCAACGTGGACATTTCAATACATATAATGTAAATACGTAACATATTTAAACATGTTTAAACATGTGGAGCAAATAGAGACAGTCACATACGAACAGCTGCTTTTATTGAGTCAAAAGTCATAAATAAAAGAGTCCAGCTCTTTTACCACATGAAGTAAATTAAACAGAGACAAAGAAATGATGAACTTTATTTAAACAACAGCTGTTTAATGTTTCCAGTGATTTCTGTGAGGAGCTGAGTGACATGTGATCACTGAGGAGACTCTGCTGCAGGCTAACGCTAACGCTAACACATGACTCAATTCTTCATTAGGGGGGCTGCTCGTGACCACACACACACACACACACACACACACACACACACACACACACACACACACAGTGTCTTACACCTGAGGCTTCTTCAAACATATGACTTCACTTGTGAATCACCTGCTACTGTGTGTGTGTGTGTGTGTGTGTGTGTGTGTGTGTGTGTGTGTGTGTGTGTGTGTGTGTGTGTGTGTGTGGGGCTTCAGTCTACAAATTAGATATGAGTAAAGGATGAGGCATAAATGCGTGCGCACTCACACACACACACACACACAGAACTAGGAGTCAGGTTCATTTATACAGCAACATTCACACATATAATATAATATAAGAAAATATAATATAATGTAAATAAAATAAATAAAAAATAAAATCAGAATAGAAACAGAATCTAAAATAAATGAGACGAATTAGAACGCTATATACAATAACATATACAACACAATGTGTGCAATATAGAAAAATAACCTGATGTGGTTGTTGCAGTTTGTCCTGATCTATTGGAATATTTAGATTAAAGACGTTGTGAATGTGAGAATGAAGATGTTGCAGAGGGAGCAGCTTCAAACACTGCGGTGAACAGGAAGTGCTCTGCAGCAGGGAGCGCTCTGGTGGACACAGAGGGAAGTGCAGCAGAAAGTCAAAGAGTTTAACGTGTTAGTTTTGATCATTCACTCAGAGGTGCAATAAAAAATAAAAATATATATGAACAGTGGTGAAGAGTATAAAGTTTCCATGTTCTCCACTACAGTTTTATTTCAATCAACTTTATTGACAGAGCACAAAGAGAATAGGTGTAAACAGTCTAAACATTAAATGGTTTAAATCAAAGTGACTCAGACCATATGGAAATATTATATATCTACATATAAAATAAAACATACAAAATAAAAACATATAGGTCAAAATTATATATGAACCCTGTATGTATATTTATATTACAGACGTATGTTACATGAATATATGTTGATATTATAAACAGTCCAAAAGACTGAGATTAATTAATAAGAAACACATAAACATATAGATTTCTAAATGTTTGTTGTTGTAATTAACTTGCATATATAAATGAAATAAATCTTGTTAACATCTCTCCCTCTGTCTCTCTCAGGAGGGGGGGGGTCTGTGGTCCTCTGATGGGACCAGCAGTGGTCTGAGTGAGGTGAGTGATCAGTGATCAGGTTCATGATTTCATCAATACTCATGTTTCTATCAGATCTGTGACGTTAGACTCATGATGACATCAGCAGTGACGTGATGTCATCCCTCCCTCAGCACCAGGTGTATAACCCCCGATCCCCGGACCGAGGGGTCCACCCCTCCTACCTTCAGCGGGAGCCTCAGTCGCAGCCCCCCCCCCTCCAGTCTCAGCGCTTCCAGCACACCTACGCCCCGAGTCGCTTCCAGCCCACGTACCCCTACCTGCCCCAGAGCCTCATCGACCTGCCCCCCACCATCTCCCTCTCAGACGGGGAGGAGCCCCCGCCCTACCAGGGCCCCTGCACCCTGCAGCTCCGAGACCCGGAGCAGCAGATGGAGCTGAACCGCGAGTCGGTCAGAGCCCCGCCCAACCGGACGGTGTTCGACTCCCACCCCCTCGACCCCTCCAACTCCTGTCTGCAGGCCAGGTAACTACACCACACAGTCACCTGTAGTCTATAGCCCCCCCCCCACGCTACTGTAAAACTAGAACCACCTCGTCGTGGTCGTATCCCTCCGCCACACAGATTAGTTCCAGGTCTCGTCCTGTTTCTCCACAGTCAGAGAAAATATCAAATATGAGTCAAGGCTAGAGGAATGGCTAAAAAGTGTTTTGTGAGGTCACACTGATCTTGACCTTTGACCTTTGACCAAAGACCATGTGTAAATGTAAATGTAAATGTAAAGTCCCTGGAGATATCATGTCACAAGGCCTAAATCATGTTTTCTGAGGTCACTGTGACCTTTGACCTTTGACCACCTGCTCCCTCAGTCAGTGTTTACCTTGTTGTTTTCTCTCAGTCTGCAGGCCCCTCCCCCCAGCGTCCACTCAGGCGTCAGTGTGCTGGAGGCCCAGGAGGCCTTGTCCCGGCAGCAGAAGCAGGGGACCGGAGTGGAGGGAGCTCCCCCGGCGTACAGCGAGGTGATCGGGCACTACTACCACCCGACGTCCCTGAGCTCCGGCCACACCCATCGGACTGTACCACCCTCACAGGCGCCGCCGTCCTCGCTCATACACGGCCTGCTCCGACCTCCGCCGCCTCAGCAGCCAGGAAGTGTGGACAACAGGAACGCAAGGAACACGAAAGAGAAATCCCAGAAGCCCCAGCAGGTGTGACGGCACTGCCCCCCCTGTCCCGGCCCGCGGGAACAACGGTAACGCCCGCTCTGATTGGTCGGCTGTAGTTGTGGCTGACAGCGTCTGGGCTGGGGCGGGGAGGCAGCAGCACGTCAGGTAAGAACACCTGGAGACCACGTCGCTCCTGCAGGAGCACGCCTGGTACTTCCTGTTCCACAGCTTCCTACTTCCTGTCTGAGGAGCGCTTCAGATGGACAGATGATGATGTCAGAGGAGGAGGTCAGAGGGCGGAGAGGGAGGACCTCCCCCTCCCCCCTCCTCCATCAGGCTGATCAAACTTCACTCAATATAAATATTTACTTGTTCTGTTTGTCTCTCTAGAACCTTTTGTTTGTTTGTTGTTTGTTTGTTTGTCTGGCGCTCACAGGAACATCAGACGTGTCTCTGGTTCTTCCAGGTTTTTGTTTTTAGTGATAATCCACCGTCGCTGCTTCGACTCAGTCCAGCAGCAGCGGCTCCTGCTCCAGGCTTCAGCCGTGTCGTTAGCACGTTAGCACGTTAGCACAGACAGAGTTTAGGTGTAGTTAGCGCTATCTGAAACTAGATGTAGCACAGAGCTAATGGTCCTTGAGCTAAACTTTTCTGCCTTATGTCGACCGACTGGCGCAGGAGTCGTCGCTGAAATCCTCCTTTTTATTTTTATGTTTTCTGAAGAAGGTTTTGCACAAAGTTGGAGACTGTTCACCCCAGAAGAAGAAGAAGAAGAAGAAGAAGAAGAATCTGCAATATGACGGAGGAGAGAACGTAGAGAAGGTCGAGGGTATTTTTCTAAACTAAATGATTCTTATCAGTTTTTTTCTGTTGTTTTTATGTCGTCTAGTTTTAGAGGAACATCTGTAATGTGTTGGGGTGCCAACGTCCACGTGGAACATGTTGCTGCGTACATGTCGGCCTGTATATACGTTACAAATGGAGTTTATATACACACATGTATGCAAAGTGAGAGCGAACTTAAAAGCACGAATTTAGAGTTATTTATATAATTGCTGAAAAGAATTGCACTATTTTTTAAGTATGAGCAGATGGAACGTGTGAGAGAGACTTTTATTGTGAAGGGGCTCTGTCTGTTGGCATGAACAGAGAGAGAGAGACCTGACACCACAGGGGGGGTAAGAACAAATCCTGGTTTATGCAAAACGTCCGAGTCCCGCGAGCCAATCACGAGTTAGTATCGATTACCTGTGAGGCCCAATCAGAAGCTCTGCTCGTCGCTCTGTCTCTCTCTATCTCACTCTCTCATCCTATTGGCCGAATCGTTAGCCAATCCCAAAGCAGGTTGTCACTACCTCGACCAAACAAGTCAAGCACACACGAGTTTGTTCACGTTAATCAGAGTTTGTGACGTCAAACAAACGTCTGAACCAATCAGGACGAAGTGTAATGTAAAAGCAGGAAGAAGCTGAGTTAGACTGAATCCTGCTGAGTTTTATTTGAATGTGAAGAGAGAGAGAGAAAGAGAGAAAGAGAGGGGGCGGGAAAAAGACGTAGACTCGGTGACACCGAAGAAACCAGGTCTACAGGTCCTGACTGTGCACTGCTGTGGACACACTCACACACTCACACACACTCTCTGTGGTGGTCTCTCTCTCTTGCGGGCGTCTCTCAGCACTTTACTGCACCAGGACTGAGACAACAATCGTCCGTCTGTCAGCGCGACGTTGAAACCCCAGTCCAACATCTGGACGTGGAACTGTCCGACCTTCAGAGACACATTTAAGAGACGGACAGACTTCGACTCCAAAACCTCAAACCTCGGGGTGGAGTACGGTGGCCCTGAGAGCTCAACTCACTGCAGCTAAAACACAAACAACTTCTCCATCAGTTTGACACGAGCTGCAGATACTCACCACACAACAGGAAGTGTTTCCAGGGGACGCTAAAGAGTGATGCACCAGGCTGGGACGCAATTGTTGTTGAATGCTTTGTGACTCTTGAAGTTCAAAGCACTGAATAAGAAGTGCGTCCCAGCCTGGTGCATCACTCTTTAGCGTCCCCTGGAAACACTTCCGTTAGGGTTGTGTGATCATTACCGTAGTCTGATTGACGCCCTGTCTGACGTCATCGTCAACGCTTTGTTTCGTTATGTTTCTGTTTGTTTTGTTTCATTTCATCGCTACGTTGTGTTACTTAACGTTATGTTACGTTATGTTTCATTACGCTGCGTTTCGTTTTTATGGCGTGTTGCCATGGTAATATATGGTTATGGTAAAATGTTGCAGGCAAATTAAATTTAATATTAATTTAATACTATAAATAATAAGTAACTATATTAAAGGGAAACAAGTCAAATATCGTCTCGACATTTTCACAGACATGAGCAGTCATCGATCGTTCTGACGATCGTCGATCGCTGACGTCATCGTTCCGTCGGTGGTTGTGTATTTACAGCTCGTGTCCAACGGATGAAGGTGTTTCTGAAGCTGCAGTGTTGAGCTCTCAGGGCCACCGTAGTCCAGGACGTTCTGTCCTTTCAGTCTTCTCCTTGTGTGTTTCGGTGTCGGAGCAGAAGTCTTTGCGTTGAACGCAGCACGAGGCGAGTTGTGATAAACTAGACACGCTGAAGTGTTGAAAAGTGACACGAGTGTTAAAAGCAGCTCGTCTCGTGTTGTCGCTATGGCAACGTGCAGGTGACGGAGGAAGGATCCTTCGTCCCTGAGCTCTGAGAGTCCAGTCTTTATGCAACAGCGCCCTCCACAGGCAGTAAACCACACTGCAGCCAGAGGGGGGGGGTCTGACTTCCTTTGTCTTCTCTCACTCACACACATTATTTTTTTATATTTTGATGACATCAACATAAAACAACAATTAGACATTTTTATTTTGTAGGATTTAAATACGTTAATATTTTTTATGAGTTTGCATGTTCTCCCCGTGCCTGTGTGGGTTCTCTCCGGGTTCTCCGGCTTCCTCCCACAGTCCAAAGACATGCAAATGGGGACTAGGCTGATTGGAGACTCTAAATTGACCGTAGGTGTGACTGTGAGAGTGAATGGTTGTTTGTCTCTGTGTGTTTGCCCTGCGATGGACTGGCGACCTGTCCAGGGTGTACCCCGCCTCTCGCCCGAAAGGATGCTGGGATAGGCTCCAGCCCCCCCGCGACCCTACTAGAGGATAAGCGGTAGAAAATGAATGAATGAATGAATGAATATTTTTTATCCAGATGTGTAGATCTCTGTATAAACCTTCAAAACAGCTGTTAGTGATGTCATCAGGTGTAAACAGGAAGTCAGTTCATGCTTTGAGACATGAACATGTCGTCAGATTAAAACCCTGTAACTAAGACAAAGAGAAGATTCATGACCAGATGCTGTGACCCCCCCCCCTGTCTCTGTCGTTTCCATGACGACCACTTGAAGAAAAACAAATCATGAGGAAATTAATCTCTTGACCCAAAGCAGTGATGATCAGATCAATCAAAGCATTAATCACCTTTCACCTCGTTATGAGATTATGAGCCTGGTCCCAAAGTGACTTTAATTTATTTACCCCCCCTCCTCCCCCCTCCTCCCTCCCCCTCTCTGACTCTGGTGTCTGGACCGGGTGGTCCCGTTCTGACGTGGTTCTGGTTCCTGTTGTGGAGGGTTTGCAGCGGGTATGAGGAGACTGGACGGTCCTGATCACAAACTAATGACAGTGATCAATAATTAATAATAATTGATAAATGAAACTGGCTTCAGGGAAAGTCACGCTGACTGACGATATAAAAACAGACAAGAGGAAGAGGGAAACACACACACACAGACACACACACACACACACACACACACACACACACACACACACACACACACACACACAGACACACAGACACACACTGTTCCTGGTCCTGGTCCTGGTTCTGGTTCTGGTCCTGGTCCTGGTTCTGGTTCTGGGTCATGTTCGAGTCCATGTTTATCTTGTCTGCACAGTAAATGTGAAGTTACCAGCAGCAGCTGGCTAACTTAGCTTAGCATCAAGACTGGAAACAGTAGGAAACAGCTAGCCTGACTCTAGCAGCACGTTGAGGTGTGTCTCACCTGCACTCTCTCTCCTTCACATAGAAACCATGTACAAGGTATTTGTAATGTTTTATGTTAGCGAATCAGGTATAAGCGAATAAGTTAGCACAGTTAGCTAACTGGGCAGAGCTAAGCTAACAGTTTAACTTTGTTTTCCAGTCTTTGTGCTAAGCTAAGTTAGCACAGTTAGCTCTCCTGCTGCACAGACAAGAGAATGGCATCAATCTGATCATCTGACTCTCAGCAACTAAACAAATGAACAAATCAACACATCATTTTAAATGTGGAACTGTTCCTTTGTCACCTGAACGGAGCCTGAACAGAACCAGGAGGAACCAGAACCAGATGATTACTGGTTCTACATGTGACACCGTCAGAAGACAGACCTGAGTGTTCTGTGAACTGGTCACATGTTTGTCTTTGCTTTAAGACAGTGTGAGTGTTAGTTAGTTAGTTAGTTAGTTAGTTAGTTAGTTAGTTAACACATGAACTAACAGCAGCAGCAGTTTTTATAAAGTCAGAGGACGACGTCTCCCAGAGCAACGAAAGTGTTAATAATAAACCAAGTGTCCTGGGAAAGACCTCCAGCTGTCTAGACTAAAACTAAACACACACACACAGAACCAGACCTTCCACACACACAGGTGCACTCTCATTCATCCACGTACATTTTTTCTCTCATTGTGGACCACACACACACACACACACACACACACACACACACACACCCTCCCTCTTCCTATCTGAACAAGCTCTACCTGTTCCTTAGAGACGCCTGCCATCCAATGACAGAGCTCCTCTCAGGCCGGCCCCCTCGCTGCCATTGGCCGGCTGTCGTTGGGTCTCCGTGGAAACGTTCATGGTTTGTTGTTGTTGCTATGTGGTTACATGTGTGCCTGCCTGTGCTGAGACGGGCTAAATGTGAGTGGCCAGCTCGGGCTGTCAATCATCCCCGGCCACGCCTCCTTACCGCCTCACATGATGGTGATGATGATGATGATTGGATGACGATGAGATTGAGGATGATGATGATGAAGATGTTTTGATAGTGATGCCGCAGAGAGCGTTGCAATACACACCTACTATTTGCCTTTTTGATAATATTAGTCTTTTAACGTAGTGATCAATGTTGTTTTTATTGTTGTTGTTTATTCACTTGAGAACAAACAAGGTCGATTTATTGTCAATCCATCAACAAAACTTTATTGATTTCATTTGTAAAACCGACTGAGAGTGAAACTACCTAACACACACACACACACACACACACACACACACACACACACAGAAGCTGCTGTAAATACAAGAACATGTACTTCTGCTTCTAAGTGCCCTTTCTAGTTCAAAGTGTGTCACAAGTTCAAGTACTGACTTCTTCTGTTCATATAAACATGTGGTCCTGGTCCTGGTCCTGGTCCTGGTCCTGGTCCTTGGTCTTCTACCCCCCTAATCATCCTGTCTCCAGACCCGGTCCAGCGTCTACTCATGTGCCTTCTGGAGCCCGGGCTCCACGGAGACGTCATCTGTCCTCAAACTCTCTGTCTCTGTCGGACGAAATATAAAGACAAATTCTTACTGCTCCAACACGGACATGAAGTATGGAAGCCCATTCATGCCAAAAAATGTTTACTCACCGAGACTCAAAGTTTAACGTTTTAACTTGAAAAGAACTTCCTGTTTCCTTTGAGTTTTTATTGTTTGTTTTTAATGTTTGTTTTAGTTTTTTACAGTTTTACATGGACACAAAGTTTGAGTCAAAATGATGAGATTTCCTATTTATTTTTCTCTATTTTAGTATTTTTTAATTTTATCTTTTTAACTTTTGTTTTTTATCTTTTTAACTTTTCTTCTTCTACGAGATTTACTATTTATTATTTGTATCTATATACTTTTTGGCATGAATGAACTTCCATATTTATGAACTAGTTTTGCAGAATATTTTCAGATCCAGCTCAGCAGGTTTTTCGTGCTGCGTTCCAGAGACGTCAGAAAGTCAGAGGTTTTGTAAACGACCACTGAAGTTGTGTTTGTAAAATAACAGGACCTTAAACTCATCATGTTGCTAAAGCTGGAGTTCAGCAGCTAACTTCCTGGATAGTGACAGTGTTTGAAAGTTTAAGAAAATCCTAAAAGTTAAAGGGGCAACGTTTCTTCTGTTAGCTCTTAATGCTAACGTTAGCTATGTAGCAATAGCAAAAACTCACAAACAGCTGCTTTAAAGAAGCAGCTGGGATTCTTTCACATCTGACTTTAATGGAACGCAGCCTGAGAGACGCTGTGTGTGTGTGTGTGTGTGTGTGTGTGTGTGTGTGTGTGTGTGTGTGTGTGTGTGTGTGTGTGTGTGTGTGTGTGTGAGATAAAGAATCTGCTCCTGTAAACACACTGGCAGGTTTTTGTTCACAGGATCAAGACGTTTCCAAAGAAGGAATCATCCTGAACTCAGACATGAGCTTTCCTGTCTGTGACGAACGTGTTGATCCACCGTTGTTTTCTTGGTTCAGGAACTTTGAAACTCAAAAACAGACTAGAACAAACTCAAACTTTAAAAGTGTGTGTGTGTGTGTGTGTGTGTGTGTGTGTGTGTGTGTGTGTGTGTGTGTGTGTGTGTGAGAGAGACTATTGTAGAAGTCTTCCACCTGTCGTCCACTTCACCTGCATCATGTCACCTGGTCGGGATCCTCCATGAACCTGGTCCAGAGAGAGATCTGAAGACCAGATCAGGACCAGGTAGAAAGCACAGGAACTCAGATTAACTCTTTCACTCCTCCACAGATGAACCTGGTTCTGAAGGTCCAGGTCCAGACCTGTTTCCTGTCACAGCATGGCTCAGTTATATAGAGGCCTACTTATTCTCA